AAACAAGAAAATCAGAGGAAATTTTCAAAGTGACTTCCATTCACTTCTTGGCAATATCCCGTTGCCACTGAAACTCCTGCAGAACCTTATGAAGAATATCGGGTTGAATGGCTCGAATTTCATTGCGAATTCTGTCCTTTAATTCTTCAATGGTATTTGGTCTATTGAAGTAGACTTTGCTCTTTAAATAGTCCCATAAAAAGTAGTCTAGGAGAGTGAGATCCGGAGATCTAGGGGGCCATTCGATAGTTCCTCTTCAACCAATCCAACGGTTAGCAAATATTGGGTTTATTCGTGAACGATCACTGCAAAATGAGGAGGTGGACCGTCTTGTTGGTACCATATTGTGTTATTGGGCAGATCAGGATCTACGTCATTTGGGTAAAGCACCACAAATGCAGGGACTAAATCGTCTTAAAAATTCAAAATATTTTTCATCTGTTAATGCGCCTTCAATGAAAAATGGACCCAAAATGCGGTTAGCAACAAGGCCAGCCCAAACGTTAACTTTTTGTGGAAACTGACTACGAGTTTCCATTTTCCAGTGTGGATTTTCAGGAGACCAATATCTACAGTTTTGCCGGTTTACTGTGCCGTCGAGATAAAAGGTAGCCTCATCAGAAAAACAATATTGCGTAAGAATCCGTCGTCATCAATTGCAACATGGTTTCACAAAACTGTAACCTACGGTCAGGATCATCTTCGTTTAATTGTTGGACCAAAACCACTTTATACGGATGCCATTTGTACAATTTCAAATATTTTAAGACGGAGCTTTGGGCTATTCCGTTGTTTGCCGCCACTTGGTGGGTGGGTAAATGGGGATTTTCTTGAACCTCTAGTAGAACATTTAATTTAACATCTTGTACTGGTGGACGACCCGTTCTAGGGCGATCTCTCGCATGACCCATTTCTAAAAACTTTTGCTCTATTTTACTAACCGTGGACTGTGTAATTGGTTCTCTGTTTGGATATTTGTTATTAAATAAACGGCAAACTTCTACTTGTGTGCGAGCTCTGTCCCCGTAACCGATCATCATCAAAATTTCGATTCTTTCCCTTTCACTCAAACGACGAACCATTTTCAAATAAAATGAATTCTGATAGAATAATGATTAATTAACTTAAAATAAAACACAAACTTGCGAGGACAAACTTCAAAATTCTGACAACTATCAAAACTGTAATTTTTCCAGCGCTTCCTTGATAAATGATTAGTATTTTGTCATCGCTTGTATAATGCATTCTTGAAACTTTTGAACCGAATATCTTGAAAACTTCCATTTTGAAGGTCATATGTTTTTGACATATTCTTACTCAGAAAAATGTGCTCTATCGAAATCCGTGGAAAAAAATATGGGTTGCCATTTAAAAAAATTGCCGATGACGTCAAAAACAAACAAAAAAAAAAAGTCGATGGCTGAAAAAAGTGACATTTTATAAATTAAAGTTGACATGTCCGAGGATTTCCTGTCAAAACCCACCAAATGATTTATCGAATTTATTTCAAACTTTACGAGCTCAGTGTATACCAGTTTTGAACTCTTCACTTCAGTAGTATTGCCGTAGGTGACGAATGATTCAGGTATTTTTAATATGCTAACATTACAGACATGGAGTATAGGTGAAATATAAGGTAAAAAAAAACCTTCAATATGGCCAAACTGGCAAAGGCAACCTACAATTTTATAGATACTATGTGAGCATGATCTCAAGCCAACTAGGCAAACCGATTTTTAATACGATATTGCGGGATACATCTACACTGGAGGTCAGCATTCACTTATAGGTACCTTCAATAACATAATACTTTGAATTGGGGGTCATATTTATACAGAGGCTTCCTTTGACCTTTAGAAACACGAATCGTTAGTTTATTTTTTTAAATTCCGTCGTAAAAACTTATTTTATTTTAACATTTTTTTTTTAGTAATTTTCGTACCCCACCACTGGACAAGCTAGTCCTCAAATAACGGCGCGCTTAAGTCACTTACAATTCCACACCATTTGCCACGAGTTACTTTTGTTAAGTGGGTGTTCGCCACTCAAACAGTATTTAGCAAGTAACCTAGGAAAAAATCGAGCAGTAATCAGGAAATGAAATGAAAATAAATGAAGTACATAAAAATAAATAGTCTGTTGATGGCTTCCAGTGGTGAAAAACATTCAAATTCAGAGTTAGAAGTACTGTGTCCAAATGTGGAACAACAACTGATCACCTTCGCTTCGTCATCGTTGACCCGCACTATCTCCTTTCACTTGCACTGTAAATTGCCTACAATTCACCTATTTGTAATACATGAGTATTACAGTGGTGGCATACATAAGTATTAACGTGCATTTTAAAAAACTAATTATAACTCGACTACTTATTTGATTAAAAAAATTCAGGTTTGTATTCAGGGGAACATATACTATGACTCATAAAAAACTGACCCTCCACTTAAAGTTACACCCTGTAGGTAGCAAACAGTTATAATCATTTGTCAGCTCAACCATCCGACACATATCAGTTTCAAACTTATTAGTTCTCATCAGTATGCCATAGGTGAGCCTACTGATGATCATAATTATTAATGTTTTTAACTACAGACATGGAGTGAATAGTATAGGTGAGATATATTTGCTTCTTGATTCATGTCATCATTTAATTATTAATTGGGATACATAATTACATTAAAGCGTACCAGTTTATGTAAAATTTTAAAAAGACGTAATAATAACAATTAAAAAATCATTCACTTTATGGATAGACAAAAAATTTTTACAATAAACTAATGCACTTTTATTTAATAACATACAGACGTGATTAAAAAAAAAACACTAAACTTATATTTGAATAAAAACTATCTTGACGTCATTGCTGAAGTATAAATCTGTAATTAAAAAAAGAAAAAATAATAATTTTATAGAAATACAACCATAATGAAATACAATGATCTCTACTTACAAATTTCAAGGAAACCTTCAACACAGCTATACTGGTACAGGGTGAATTCGGCAAATACACTGGAAAAATATTTTATCACGTAGTCAATCGTTTGACACCTAATTACATTTTATCATCATTGGCGTTTTTCCGTTCTCGTTTACCTCACTGGCATATTCGACCTAAATTTCTTTTTATAACCTGCAATAAAAGTTTTGCATACTTTTGAAAGAAATCAAAATCGAATCACTCTTAAAAACAGTAGACTCTACCTAAAATAAAACGAACAAGTTATTTAAGAAATCAGCCAGTGATTGACTTCTTAGGTCACTTGACTATTTGTCTGTGGGATATTTGCCTAAACCATCTATAGAAACGATATGATTTATAATACTTGCCATTATCTAAAGTGTGTGAGACAGCTTCAACCATCCATATGTAGAGGGTGTTTTAGTCGACGCTGTCAGATAAAATGACATACTTTGCACAAGTCATGTTTGTAAAGAAAAATTAACTTGTGTTAGTATACTTTAATGTCACTATACAGGGTGACTCAGAACTTATCCAAAGAAAAATTTATTAATGTAGACTTAAAAATACAATTTTGTAAAAAAAAAACAAAAAGGGCAGTTCGAAAATGATTTAAACACTTCTGCATAGCACTGAAAACTGGTCCACTGTAAAATCTGACCTTGAGTAAGATAAAGCATGCAGTCAGCGACCAGTACGGCCGCAAAGTGTAATAAAAAATAGAAAGAAATAAGTAAAATTTTATAACGCCTATTTTATATCGGCAAATTCAACTGCTTTTACAACTATTGTTAATATTAATTACTAAAATTAATTCCTGATTTTAATTAATAAAATAATTTGACATACCTGATGTTACAACTGTTCAAAATTTTCCACCGACTGTAAACACATTTGGGTTCGTCTTACCCAGATTCTATGAACTAACACAAATATTGTCTTGCTTCACCATAAAAATAATATTCGTCAATCCCCAGTTGCTATACATGTAAACATTTTTGACACTTGAAAAACTAATGTAAACACTCGCAAAAACATAAAACATCGGATTTCAATATTCAGAATCGGAATCGCCTGAGGCCACGTGGAGAAAGAATGCATTGCGCACAGCGTACAACGCGAATGATGCTAGAGACTACAGTATCCATCAATGTAAAGGTGAAAATAAGGCTTTTTTCTGGGAAACTGGATTTTGCAATTTTTTTATGATATTGACGCATGACGCATCTATTCCCAAATTATTTTAGATAAGTTGTGAATCACCCTGTATACATAATATGTATATAGAATGAATGCTCCAAAATTTAAAGAAACGGCAAAATCTCTCAACTATAAATACTCAAAAGTGAAATACATTGGAAAATATAAAAATAATTTTTTTGTATTTTTCAAATAAGATTATTTTAAGAAAAAGTAGGTATAAATAAGAAAAAAAGGAACAAAGTGCAACAAAATAATATATTTAACATTTTCTACATATAAAATAAAATTATACAAGAATTAGTAACGTGGTTAACAATATGTAATAATCTACACAAAGTTGCAAGAAATTCAATAAATACATAAATACGATTATGTTTTCAAATGATGTTTAAAAAATAATTTTATTCCATACTTAACTCGTTCCATTTAAGCATCGTGTAAATGAAAATATCTACGCGAATAATTAAATTATATGCTATTTAAACAAAACCTAATCCATGTCATTGGATTTTTTTAAATAGCCTTACAATAAAATTGTAGAAAAGTTGTATATAAAATATAAATAATCTTTCAATAAAAATAACAAACAAAACAGTCTTCTAGGCATTGAATTAAAAAATATAACAATTCGTCTACAATCAACCGAAACAAAACATAACACATTTTTTTTAACAAACTAACTAAAGAACAAAAAACAACTAAAAAAACGAAACACATTAATTATTTAATACGAATAAGTTGACTGCAGACGAATTGCACTTTAAAAGTAAAACAAAAATTGTTATTTCTGTCCACGCAAAGGCATCTTTTAGTAATAAAATGGGTTTTGAAAAAAGGTATCCCCTGCCCCCATATTTCTCATATTATGTACATGCGGGTACCTGCCAAAACGACTTTGAATATTTCCTCTAGGGGTATTGATTTCTCTAAAAGGCATTACTCCTCTTAAATGGGAATATCCTAAGAAAAATAAATTCAGACTCAAAATAGTTTGACTATTTTTCCTTAGAGCACTAATTTTACTAGAATAAACAAATATACTATAATCTATTAACACTGCCAATGACAATGATTAACATAGTGTTCCCGTTTTCGTAACACATTTTTGAATGAATACTAAAATGATTTCTGACGAAATTAAGAAAATTATTTGCACATGGTAATTATTATGCATGAAAAACTCATCTATATGAGCATTTGTTAATAAGAGAATCTTCACCAAGTAAACTGAATCCATTCAATACCTTTGGTGGCAAATACAGTGCCTTCATAAATGATTACAAGCCACCTGACCAGTAATTTTTTTCCTTCATGTTGGCAATTAAATTTTGGTAAAATTAAAAATTACTAAATTATATTTAAAACACAACATTCGGTTTTACACGCTAGTGATTGGCGTAATTTTTCACGAGATTTTCCTCAACCAATCAGTAATCGCATTATCTCGAGTGTAGACGTAATGGTTTGTCATTATTCATTGTAAATTAATCAAATTGGTGATGCCAAGATTTAGGGACTTTTTGTTATCAGTACTACACTATTGGGTGCCTAAGCTCGTCCGTCACGTGATTGTAAACATTTATGAAGTTTCTGTATCATTGGAGTTACAAAAAGCTTGACATCATTATATTAATCATTGTTGCTGTTAATTACAATAATTCATAAAAATACAATTTATGAGTAAACTCAATAAATATATATATATACATTGAGGAAAATTAAACACTTTATACTTATTGTTCTTTCAAAGAAAATTTTAAATCGATAAAAATGAAATATAAAAACTACCATTATTTTTTGAATAAAGGTAATATGAAATTCTATGTAGAGCATAGGAAGCATCAGTGAAGTTAGTTTAAAAATACACATTTTCTTACAGTTTAATTTTACACAGTAATTTAACAAATTGATAAGTGATAACCCTAAAAATACTGTCTCTTTGAACAGATCTGTTGCCATGTTGTGACTTTTACATCTTTCTATTAAGTTTTGCACCTGTGGAGAAAGTATTTTTTAATTTAAACAACCTAATTCAAATTTAACATTATTTAGACACTGTTCAAAGGGATAGCAACTGTCCATATTTTTTAAGTTAATGTAAAAACCAGTGTTCAAGCTCAAAAAATACTATGTGTAAAATTAATTTTTTTTTTATCATAGATTTTTATTATTAAAATATATATTTCTTGATCACTAATAATGATGACCAAATAAAAAAATAACTAATAGGTAATCGAAACAGTGTCTAAAATTATTAGCAAAAAAACTTTGGGTCATTCTATTCTCAAAAATAATAGCACAAGCTCCTATGATACTTATTTGCTGAGTACAAATTGAGTTATGTAACAAAGTTATTTATTTGTGTTAATATTTCAGTTAAGTGATTTTTTTTTCAAATTTGATACAGTTTTGACACCATTTAAATCTTTTGTAGTATAAACAGAGGATTTGAATTAAAAATATATATATGGTTCATATAATTATTATTGTAAGCAAATCTTTCAAATGGTCTTGATTATCTTACATTGATTACTTTACAAAATATATAAATTAAAAATAATTTACAGGGATTTCATAGAAAACCTGGTTGCAAACAATTTGGAACAAAAGATGAGTAATCTTTTGAAAAATCAGAGATAAAACAGCATGATCAATTTTCTATTTAACTATTTGTTTGCCTAAGTCTATAGACACCAAATCCACTTTACTTCGAGACTTCTCGCATGCTAGTTTCTTATCTGACGTATGCCAAAGATAATTTTTTATGATCTAGGTCGTTTATGCAACACATATGTAGAAACAAACAAACCTGACCTAACCTAATACAACATAAACTTCATTTTGTTTTCCAATAAAAATCAACAACAAAGCAAAATAGACTCTGTGCCTTTAGACATTATTATATTGTGGGAAACAACTACTCTGCGGACTACAGCCCCGATCATTTGTCAGGAGAATCACTAGACATATACCAGTTTCGAACTTGACAGTTCTCATCAGTATGCCCTATGTAAGATAATTCATGACTATCTACTGACATGTTTTGAGTGAGGGTGAATTATAACTTACAAAGCATTACTGGGACAATTTTCCAATCAATAAGAGCCATTCAGAGCTTTAGAATCTTGATTTTTTTTTCACATTTTTTATCAATTATAAGTATCAAATATGAAATAAATTGCTTAATCGAAAAAAATTATGGAAAATGATAATTAAAATAAAATAACTTTGAAGTTATGTAACTCATAATGTTGAGTTTTTTAAAAAGTTATTTTTGACCATTATTTGTACGAGTAGAAATTTTTCTAATTTTTTTGCTCATAGTTTTCGGACAAATTTTAAGAGAGATTAACTATAAACCGATTATCCGCAAGCTACTTGGCTGTCACCCTATACACCAGGTGGTCCATAGACAAGTTGGATTGGATCATTTTGACAACTATTCACTAATTTTCCACAGCAAGGCCGAAACGTATTAATTTTGGTTACCAAGGTTTATTTTTTAGAAATTTCTCACTTTTATGTTACATCAACATCTAAAATGATGTCATTTGTCCCTTGTCGCCATTTAAGTTCCCTTTTTTACTTACAGAGCTTTATAGCCAGTTCCAGATGATGTGGTCACTTGTCCATTATAAACATATCAAATATTTGCACTGTTTGGTTAAAATCTATAGTGTGAAGTGTAATACATGAGCAGATGGTAAATATTTGCACTAATATTCCCTCATGTTCTATGCAAAGTGTGTATTCTTACTAATTGTCCGCATGCCAAACGTTTGTGTATAATTGCCACTATTTTTACGAACGTAGAAAAACTACAAATTCCAGTTTGTGAAAATAAACCGAACTATATTTTGTTGGTACACCGTTTATATAGTTTCAGCAAATGTATCTCTAAGCAACGTCCACATAATAAGGCATTTATTTACATTTCACAAATATTTGGTAAGTGACCGCATCATCTGGAGCTGGCTTAAGCATAACAGAAAATAATATATATTTGTAAAAAAATATATTCTTCAAACAAAATTTTCATAATTATTTTAAATAATAAAATTAAATATTTACATAATAAAAAATTAAAATACCACTGAATCAGTGTTTAATAAACAAATTTTGAGGATTCTTAGAATTTTGAACAATAACTTGAATTATAAAGATTTAAATGCTTTGTGATTGGTCATTAGCCTAGTATGTAGTTGGTTGTCAACAAATTATTAATAACAACCCTACAATAATGAATTCTCTAAATAATTTTAATACTTTTAAATCATAATATTTATCACAACCAATATCTTCTACTTAACATGCTCTTCACAAAAAAAACTTATTACACTTTCGATGGCCAATTCTCTATCCAAGAACACCGAGTCGTAAGTGAAAAATATTAAAGTGCCTACAATAGAATGGAATTGTTAGTTAAGAGGTTGATCTTTAAATCAATGTTAGGCACCCTCACCAAGGGTATGATAGGATGGAATAAAGTTCCTGGAGCCAATACGTTTCAGAATATGCTGTCCCCAACTCCCATACAGGTTGCCAACTACTGATCTAAGTCTTACAATTAGAAAGAGAGGTATTATTATTATTATTATCATTATTATTACAAAGGGATTACACTCATTTGAATTTGATTATATGCCTTACACCGATAAAGAGAGATCTGTAATATCACAGATACCACGAAAGAACAATCGATTGTGGATTCATATGCATTGGAGTATCGCTAGTTATAAAAAAATCTGAGGGTGATACTATGACAATTTTCAAAATTCTATTTATCCTCCAAATTTGTTTAATCAACTTGAATCACATTCAATAAGTGTTTGAAAATCATAACCTACACATTTCAAATAATAATGCAATTTGTAGTTTTGTTTTACTGACTTTTCACTTTTTGCGCCGAAGAGGACATTTTCTGGGTGATTCTTAATAAAGTGCAAACAATTTAAGAAGTATTTCTATCAATAAAAATAATGGTGCAAGTCCCTATGATACTTTTTCGAAAACTCGATATTAACGGACATAACCTCCATGTTATTTTGTCAATTTTTTTCATATTCGATATAATTATTACTGATAACATGAAGACAAAAAATCCTGTTGACTAAAAAATTGATAACTGTTATTTGCAGTTTTTCAAAACGAAACAGTAATAGTAGCCCATGAAAAAATTTTCAAAAATGTTCTTTTGTTCCAAGTTGGTACTAGCCGTTTCCAAGAAAAAAATCATTTAGTGTTTTTGGAGCAACCCTTAAAAATAGGTAAGTTTATATGTTGCATTATAAATGAAGCTGGACAGCAGAACATAAATAATATATTATGCAACAAGCACAAAATAAGGATTATTTTGCTGCCAAAGTTTGTAATTATTATAGGTGTTCCTTGCATACTATACTTTCTCTACAACCCACTGCTGGTTCTACAAACATTGGTGCAAAGCAACTCATCTATTCATTAACTGACTTCAATTCAAGTTCAATTCCCTGATAGTGGCTGCCGTGGATTTCCAGCCACGTTCCTTTTTGGTAATTAATGGAAAAGCATAGATTATCAACATTTGAAGGTCTTTTAACATACCTTTTGTAAATTTTTTGAAAACTTCAAAAATTTCTAAAATTTTCTGAATTATTTTTTATACTGTTAGTATTATTATATATAATTATTATTATTATATTAGTATTATTATTATTTCTAATTTAGCCGTCAACTTTCTAAAAAACTATAAATTACCCTTTTTTCCTGTTTTTTAAAATTTGTGTAAAAGATAAAAAAAAATTGTTATAGGAAATTTATTCCAGTTTTCGAAACTGTCCTTCAATTCTCTGTACGCTTTTTTTTTTTTGTCGCCGAGACATCGATGATTGAAGACAAAAGGATCCTTTTCCATTAAAAGTCCGATCTTTCGAAGAAAAATGGGCATATTGAAATTTAAAAAAAGGTAACTGAAGCTGAATAAACAAGCTATCTGGTTCATGCAATGCCTTAGCTGAAAAATTTTTTTCAAGTCCGTGGACGGATTTTTTTGTCGTGCTATTTCTTAGAAATGCATGATAACCGTAGCTCCTAAAAAATTTCGACCGAAAGATCTAAAAACTAGAATCTTAGAGCTTCAAAATGCTTTACCTAAATACAGTCTGTCAAAAATCACAGAAAAATTTCGGAAATTCTTTTGACTTTAATTTTTTACATTAGTTTATAATAAATTTAATGTTAATTTTCCTGCTTCTGTTATGTTTGGATGTGTCCATTTTAAGACAATACCCCTATCATTCTCCACATTAATTAGCAAATTTATTGGAAATTATTACGAAATTACCCATAATGTAAAAAATGTTGACAGAAACTGATGATATTTTATTATTCCGGCCTCGGATAATTCTCTAAGCTGTCTTAATTTTTGTGGTATACAACATCAGACCAAACTCAAAATATATTTTATTGCATTTGTTGCCTAGCAGTCAATGTAAAATAAAATTCTGTATAAAGTGGAGCTGTTTACGATTGAATTAGCATTTTTCGAGGTTGTCGTAGGTAAACAAAATTATGTTTTATGCAATCATTGTAAGTATTAAAATTACGTAAGCATATTTGAATAAAGAATGAAAAAACCTTTCAAACGAGGTATCACAAACCCCTACTTCTCATTAAAAAATTTAGGGGTTGCAACTGCCACTCGAAGGGGGTTGAATTTAGGGATGAAATTTTTACGTTGTAGGATAGCATTTTAGAATCCAAAATCGACGGGTCCAGGATTTTTTATAAATATGAACTATAATTGAGATACTGAATTTTTCCATTTGGCTGTTCCACACTGTATACAGGGTGATTTATTAACAATGGGAAATCCGAAAGCTGAAGATATATATGGTAAAAAGTTATTAACTAAATTTTCGGTAAAATTGGTCGTAAGTAGTGCCATCTATGAGCAACGCTCAAATTGCATCACGCATCTTATTCGTCGTTTAAAAAAATATAGTTTTACAAATTTTCAAGTTCCTACCTACATATTTTCAGAATAATCTTAAAATTTAACTTTGAACACTGTATTTCCAAAACTATCAATTTTTGGATAAGGCAAGTTTGTGCGATTTCACGTGTAGTATCTTCAGCTTTTGGATTTTCCATTGTTAATAAATCACCCTGTATATACAAATATATAAAAACAAGATTTCAAAAAAGTGTCACTGGGCTCGTATGATTATTTTTATAGAATCACATAAAATTTTGCACTTTATTTGGAATTGCCCTGTATACAGGACAATGGCTAAAAAAAAGGCATGTCTGAACAAAGGAGGATGTTTGATAGCCTCACAACCAAAATTGGTAATTTCGGTGCTTGTGTGAAATTAGTATTTTTTTTTTGGACCACCCGTAGCCTATTATGCACTAACAAAAATAATTACATTCTTATAAACAGGGATTGGAAACAGTTGTATTTATTCCCAGTTTCATTCACCTTGCAAAAAATCAAAATGAAGGGTTTGATCAAGATAATTGAGTCGAAATACTATAAACATTCTCATGGAGAAAAAAAAAATGAATCAGTCACACAATTGCATTGGCTGAATCTTTTTGGCATTTTGGGGGTAATTTACTGTAATAGGGGAGCCCACGATGCTAAACGAGAATTTACTCGAGCGTCGTGGGGACCTATTGCATTTTGAAGATTAGATGGTAGAAAGAAAAAAAGGTTATATGATGTAATACCCTTTCACCAATGGGGGGAGCGTCTAAAGGCTTTCAAAAATGTAAAAAGAAACAGTCACACGGAAATACTTGAGCGCATCAGTGATTGATAGTGTATATGCCCTACGTGTCTCCGGTGACGGAGATATGTTAATCTGCTGATTTGGATGGTGGGGGGGCCTTACGGAAAGGTTAAAAATGGAGAAAAAAATAAATTTACTCAAGCGCGTCAGACATTCAGAGATGTTAAGTGAACCCGAACGAAGCTTCCATTCAAAAGACTGATGATTCGGATGTGACGCAAATTCATGGCAGCTTTTTGAAAATGCAAAAAAAATCACCATTTTGAAATACTCGAGCATGTCAGATTTTCATATAGACAGTTCAGCTTGATGCCCTGGTCATGCTGATCCATAATCTGACGATTATTTGCAGGGGTTTTCTTAATCTGACGGTTTGAAAAAAAATTTTTTTTCATTATTTTTTTTTAATCACTGAATGTGACAAATAAAATGCACAAAAAATAGCATGCAGATAAAAACAAATAACAAATTTTGATGAAATTTGTAAAAAAAAGTTTATTTCGACAATCTCTTTCTCTGATAAAATTACAAATGATAGACGTAAAAAAAAATTTATGGTGGAGGTTAAAAAAAAAACTATATATTTAAAGTTTTTTTATCGGTTTCTTGATGGGTAATAACTTTACAAAATTAAGATTCCACGTCATAAAACCCCTGTGTACCAAATTTAGTGATTCAGAGATATTAAAAAAAGATTATTCTTAGGAGCGGACTTCAGGGGGCTCTAATTTCGAAAGAGGCACTTGGCAAAAATAAAAAATACGGGTCCCCTAAATTTGTCTTAATAATTTGTGACCAAGTTTTGTTGCATTAATTTCGGGACACCCTGTACATGCAATACTACCATAGTGCCATAGTTGTGATGGCATGATGGCTGGCGTGTGGGGATGGTGCGAGAGAGTCACAGATAGAGAAAGAGCGAAAGGGAGTGAGAGGCGCGAAGTGGGGAATACATATTTCCCTGCAGCTGCTCGCGCTAAACTTTATTAACGATTTTTGTTACTTCGGCTTGTGGAAATCGGCAGATTATATGTTTCTCGTTATCCTTGTATTTCCTTCAAAATAAAAAAAATTCGATTGCGCTCGAGAATGTCGAGGTGACGTTTTTTTTCTTGCAACTTTGTGACCTTCCGACTGCCTTAAGTCTCGCTCAAATCGTCAGATTATTGAAATGCACACTTTTTAGCATGTAATTAACCCATCATACCTTAATCTGACGTGCTCGAGTATTTCCAACTATCGATTTTTTTTACTATTCTGGTTGGCTGCCCTACCCACGCAGATTTATATAGAGGACTTAGATATGGTGGAGGTATCCCCCCATATGTTAATCTGCCGCGCTTTAGTAAATCCCAAAATCCCCTCTTGGGCTCCCCTACTATTGTAAAATTTATTTAGTGTGGCAAAAATTCAATGAAAAAAATGTGAGATTTTATATTAAATTCATAATTGTTATGTGCAATTCATTAATTTTATTAGCAACATGATATTATGTGAATTGATATTTTGTGATAACTATAAACAAAAATATTTGTTTAGCAGATTAAACGAAACCCTTAAATATGGATTTAATTAGTGTCTCCTTACACCTTACGTAAACTCAATTGTGGAGCATACAATGTGTATATACATAAAACTTATTCATTTAAATATCGTGATCTGCGCACAAGATAAACCTATTATACAAAGTAGTAGAACATCAAACATTAGTAGCGCTAATTACAGATTCATTAAAATACACGTCTTATTATTAATATCTTCTTCTCTTACCCCTGTTAAAAGCCATTGAATTCCAACAATCTAAGTACTGCGCTTTTTGCCTGCCGTGGTCTTCTGCCACCCTAACGCTTAACGGTAGCATCGCGTTTTGCAACAGCTTTCCATCTAAATTAGCAATGGCTGCCTGTGCTTCTTCCCCTTTCGAAAATCTAAAACAAAAGTAACTTTATTCGAAGCAGACAAAAATGTAACTATAGTAATTACCTGACGAACGCAACACCTCTTGGAAGACCGGTAATTTTGTCTTTTAGTACAGTGCGTTGTACGATTTCTCCAAAATCCTTAAATAAATTGTCAACATCCTGTTCTGTAACATCCTTTGGCAAATTTGTAATGTACAAATTAGAATCTTTCATGTCAGTTCCCGGGGGTCGGGAGTATGATACTTTTAAACGTTTGTTTCTAAAACAATGTCAAATTAAAGATGACAATTACTATTACTAAGTTTTAATACCTAAAGTTAAATCCGTTTAATACTTCAATGGCCTTTGCGGCCTCTTCCACAGTAGAGTATTTAACAAAACCAAATCCAAAGCTGTAACCAGTTTTGAAATCCCTCATAATTTTAATACTCTCTACTCTCCCGATTGGCGTGAAAATTTGAGCTAAATCATCTTCGGTAGCAAATTGAGGTATGTAATTTACAATTAGTTTTGTTTTATCACAATGGAAATGATTGCTATCTCCTGCTCCATTGTTTACATCCATGCCTCGGTCACTAACACCGGATTCTTCCTCATTGTAGTTTGTGGAAGCCGCAAACTGTAAATATGACATAATTTCAAATGTTAGTTTCTAAGTAAAACGAAATGTAGTACTCACTGGAAAATTTCCCAACTGTGAACCGAACATTCTGTAAAAAGAAATATATATGGATATTATTTAATATATTTCAGTTTCCAAATAGTATACAATATCAACTGCTTCAAATTTTCATAAGAAAAAGTAAGCTAGTGAATTATCATAACCACACAAACATGTCAACTTTTTGCAATACATTAAATGAACGAGGTTAAATTAGCCGGTAATTTAAATAACTGGTATATTAGAAACCACACACAAGAAATCGGATTCTAATTTTACTTTTTGGTAATATAATACGCAATTTTAATGTGACATTACCTTTACTGTAAAGAATGAAGTGAAAACAAAACAGAAGAAAACTAAACGCTAAAATAGGCAAACCAACAAACTTGATCCAGTTTGAAAATAAAAAAACGCATGCTCAAAGAATATTAAAATACGCATGCTTACTTCAATTTTGGGAAGCTGAGCAGGAGTGTGTTCAGTAAGTCACGTTTACTAGTTAAACCTTACAGCATATACAACGTGGGGGAAGCACGTTAGCACGCTTACGACGAGAGTGTAGTAGACGAGCGACAGAGAGAGAAAGAGATAGTTTGGGTACTTATCGTTCTGTCTCGTGCAGGCTACCGCAACTTTTTCCCCAAGGATATATAAATATCCTTCCCAACGAGTAAAGAGAGAGAGAACGAGTACCCAAACCCTCGGCTTCTATTCATCTACGATTAATAGAAGCCGAGATATTGCAAAATTTACAGCGCGCATCAATTTAAATTTTGGAATGAACTTCTCTTGCGCGCGCGACCGCTTGGATGAGCTTCCGCCAGCACCACGCCGCCGGCCGCCGGACAGTTTACTTAGCGAGTATCTTCTCTTTAAAGGGCTCGTGAGTCGTTAATTTTCCACATTTTTCAATGCAATTCATGGGAAATCGTAGTTTACGTCGTAAACTGTATTTTGCGAAAAATTCAAGTCTTAATATTTATAAACAATTGAGCTACGATTTAAAAAAAATCTTATCTTGGCTCCTGTTGGTCGTAGAGGATACTTTTTTATTTTAAAACTGTATTTTTTTGCCAGCTGTCCCTTGCATCTATTTTCGGTGAGATAGCATAAATAGCAACAATGTTATTCAAATTGTTTATAAGCGAAAAACGCACGGTTTTTTAATGCACAATTTGAGAATGTTAATGTCAAAAAAACGGTGATATTTTTTAATAGGTCGCTTAATTGCGTCTTTAAGATTACAATGACGCTTTCAGAATCATGTTTGATTGAAAATTAACGTCTGTACAGAGGCTTAAAGTTCATAACTTTTGGAGCCTCCGCTATAAACAAATAGAATTGTGCGAAAACTATTGCACCTACAGCGCTCACTTTTGGCACACTTTTGAAGTATGACAAAACCTCAACTTGTCATAGGTTTTATAAAATTTTAACAATAAATGCGATATTTATAAACACATTAAAAAATGGGCACTTTTCTTGTTTTTTGCAATAACTTTTTTGTTTATTAACCGATTTTAATTTAACAAGTTTCATTTTGTAGATAATTTTACTCCCTATAAGCTATCTGTGTGTCACTTTTTCGAATTTCTTTTTTATTTTCGCTAATTTTCCTGGTGTAATACCATATTACTTTTAAAAGAGATTTATAGATTTAAAATTAAATTAGGTAATTATTACACTGCTAATTGCGCTTATGCATGGTGAATTTCAAATTAAAGTAATAGCTTTGTTCCAAGTGCATTAGAATTAGTTTCCAACAGTCCGACGCAATCGCATTTGATTCAAAACAATGAATTTTGAACCTTATGTGAGCATTATATCCATATGCGCATGCGTCTAACTGTTGGAAACTGTTTTGGATTCTACTAGGAACAAAGCTAATATGTAATGTATGTATATGTTGTACAGTTGTATACGATGACCACTTAGAAGAGCTTCTTATCTTACTTCTTATTGGAGGTAGGTAGGCAATATTTTGTAGCAGCAGCGAAAACACCTGATTTACCAACTAGTTAATCACAGATTAAGGTTATTTATAATTAAGATTAAGGTTATTTTAAACTCTAAAAATGTTACAACTGTAATGTTCAGAAATATCTACTCATGCAGAAATCATTTTAATATGATTAATAATTGAAATAACTAATATTGAGTTAGACTATGGAAATCAAATTATAATACGCCTCAGAAATACCAATGGACAACTCTAGGTCAAAGTTTGTAGGTAAACTACTTCTTTAGCGACTTTGGGATGCCGCTATTTTAAAGTCATAGATACGGGTGGGGGGNGGGGGGGGGGGGGTCGACGCTGAATCCGAATCCGAGTTCAAAAAAAATTCGTATACCCCTTAAATTTTTGTGTAGAGCCAAAAACATCCCTTAAATAGGGGTAAAGTTATGAAAATCAATATCATTACGGAAACGAGTATAAATGGGCACGTTGCAACACTCGTGCTCTAATTTAGTATTGCCAAGGGCTGCCCCGAAGGGGTTCGTACCCCTTCTACTTCTATATCCTTCCGGATATAGATCTGCGTCATGAAAGCTTCTAGCTTACCAGCTCTTGAGAATGCAATGGAAACATGGTGGAAGGTGAACACAGCCAAAGAACAAACCATCTAGAGGGGTGAATTACCCTCTGCTGGACGGGGTGGAGAAATACGTGGGATAGCAAATTTTTCTTGTTTTTAATGCGTAATAGTCGCAGTGCACTGAGCAGAACAGCCCGCAACTACTTTGCCCGTACCCGTTTAACGATGAATCGAAACGATGAAGACTGAAGAGGTACTTTTATTTGCAGCAATGTATGAGAATGAAGAAAGAGCATGTTCAGCAGCGTTCCTATTTCATACCAAATTTTATTTTTCATCCTGTTGTTTTTATACTCCGGATGCGATAAATCGTATAAAATCCTGTGTTTCTTAATATTTTCTATTAATTGTTCCGTTACGCATTCCATATTTACAAAACAACCAACTATTAGCACAGTGTTCCTTGAGATCACGCGACCAAACTCGACATGTTACAACCTTAGAGCATAGGCACAGAGTAAGTAATATATTTAATCTGTGGCATAGGTATACTACTGGCACAGTATATCATGGCGTGTTACTTATCTCTTATGGACACAGTTCGCCATTATTCCATGGCTAGAAATTGGCCTCAATG